GAAACAGTGAGTTATTGGAAAGAGCATGTTTTACAACAGCTTTTTTTTAATGCTCAGTCTTGGAAGGTTCAGGTGGTTGTGTCCCACTTGCAGAATGGAGGATAGTAGAGTCCCTAAGGACATCCTTTGTGGAGAATTACAGATTGTTAGACGATGTCAAAGTCAGCCTCTACTACAATATAAAGATGCGTGCAAGCCGGACCTGAATTATACAAGTATTGGGGTGCATTTTTGGGACCAAAAAAAAAAAAAAAAAAAAGATTAGATCATCTTGAAACGATTGTCAAATTCTCCAACATAGGCGAAAAAAAGTGGACAGGTTGGTCAGTGTTTTTAAAAAAAAAAAAGTTTAGAAGTTGCACACCAGTTAAAGAGTTATCAAGATGACCGACTGTGAAAAGTGGTTAAAATGACGTCCGTGCCCTAAATGAAGTTGACAAGTTGATCATGTTGGAAAGATGGCCATCCTCTGGAAAGAAAAAAATTGACCAGTTTCATGACCTAAGTGCAAGACCTACCTAGTTGTCACATAGGGCATACTTTACAAGTTGACATGTTGATCAATCGGGTAACAAAATATACAAGTTTACTTTTTTGAAACAGTTAACAGATGAAAAATGGTTGTCGAGTTGCTCATGATAAAACGATGTCTGTCCGTGAAAAAAAAAGTTGGTACAAAATTCGACTAACAGTGAAATAGTTTACAAGTTAGTAAAAGTTCTGACAAATGTTGACTAGTAACCACTTTGAAAAAGTGTCCGTCAGTGACAAAGTACACGTTTGGGTACGTAAAAATGTTGAGCAGATGTCCACTGGATAACAAAGTTGGTAAGTTAGTCTACGATCTTACAACAGAGTCATATACTGGACAGCAAGGAAAAGGGACGGCAAGAAGGTTGGGCAGATTGCTCTTTGAAAATCGTCCCTTTTTGTATGTGTGTAAAAAGAAATCAGCCTGGTTGTTTTGAATATCATCCAAGTCAGCCATATATATCAGACGTGGATGTTTATGTATTGTGTGACCTATCACATAAGTGAGCTGTTGTAACTGCTGTTTTGGTCGAAAATGAACAGTCATGAAAAAAAACACTGACCAGCTGTGAAATATTTACAAGTTGACCAGTTGTATAAACCGTGAAACGATCCACCAAGCTACTCGATGTAAAAGTCGACACGTTGACCAATCGTTTAAAAAAAAAGAAGAAAAAAAGTTGGTCCTTAGTGAAAAAAAAAAAAGTGATAAACGTGCGTCCAGCAGTGCAGAGAACCGAGCGTATCCGTCAGTGACAAAGTTGACAAGTTAGGAAAAGATCTGCCAACTGTAAGAGTTTCAATGGTTTGACGGTTGACCGACAGTGAAATGGTTTACAAGTTGCTCTAAGTAAACCTATGAAAAATGTGTCGCTCATAGAAAAAAAAAAGACATCTCCTTCTTTTCTATGCAGTTGTTTCCTTCCTTCCTTCATTTGCGTTTATCTGTTTTAAACTCTGGCACAAAGTTCTGGTTGTTCATCAGCTTGTGGACTTTATCCATGTTTAAGAACTGGAGTTTTGCATGCACATCCATTTTCTAGATGTAACTTATTTGTATGCAGACTCTTGGTTCCTTGCCTCCCAGGCAGATGCATCAGGTTTCAAAGGAAACTCTTAAGATGTCGACTTTTACAGCAGCTTGTTAGGAAGGCAGTGGCTCAATTCTCCCACCTCCCGCCCCCTTTCAAACGATAGGTACTCAGGAAGCTATACAGGGAAATTTGATTCAATATTATAGATGAGTCCGATCCAGAAACTTTGGCTTCTCTCATCAACGTTCGCATTAATGTTTCTCGTGCACGTTATCGCCTCCTCAGTTTTTTTTTTGTTGTGTGTCACTGCAGTGCCTAGACAGTGATTCCTCTATATAATTCTTCTCATGACGTGGCCAACACAGATACACGGGCAACCACCAGTCCATAGGGACCATAGCATTGTGCTGCTGGTTGTGGGAACAGCGTCGGCAGTGACTGTAAAGTCCAGTAGGGAATGCTAGTTTCTGCCACATCATTATACATAAAAAAAATTATACTCTATTATAATGAGGTTGGTTGCTCTTAGCGTCTCCCCTCTATAGCTTGCTGTGTTTGGACTCTTCCAAACTGCGACAGTCTCTTTCACCATTTGCCTGCTAGAAGTCAGTCTGCAGCTGATATCTCCCAAGTGTCTGTGTCAATGTTGGCATCTTTCAGGTCACGTTTGCTTATGTCTTCATAGCATAACCTTGTCCTTCCTGCAGATCTTTTCCCAGTTACTAATTCATCATAAGGAGATCCATTTGAATGCGAGACATATCTCAGCCAACGCAAGCGTCTTTGTTTAAACAACTCTAAATACTTTCCACATGCACATAGTGAGAGTTTGTCCCTAACGAATGTGTACTCAGAACAGCACGAATGCCAGCAGTGTACTTTCTAATGAAACAAAGACGCCTGCGTTGGTTATGTCTCGCATTCAAACAGATCTCATGTAAGATGAACTAGTAACTGGAAAACGATCTGCATTAAGGCCAAGGATACGCTATAAAGACATAAGCAAACGCGACCTAAAAGATACCAACATTTTTTTTTTTTTTTTGAAAAGCGCACAGTATGTGACCAATATAATGCCACAAAACTGTTATGTGATATTTTCACTGTTTGAAACCGGCCAGGGTTGCCAGATAAAAAACTTCATTTTGTGCCAAACCATCACTCAAAATATGCCAGAAAATTGCCAAATCAAGTGTAACATTGTACTCACTTCACATCAAAAGCTCTAGATTGCATTCTTCACAGTCATCCTCACTGGAACCAGTGAAAGATGCAGCATAAACCTTCTCGGATGTAAAATCTTTAAGCATTTTCTCAGATGGAATGAAGTCTTTGCAACATTTCTTTGATATCAATAGTTCTGCTCTATTTCTGACAACTGCATCTAGAAAATCCAGTTATATTTTGTTTCTTGCTTTTGATTTAGTTGAAGTAACAAGAGAGAATATTCTCGCAACTACAGCATTGCTAACAGGCATTATTAAGCAAGTAAGGGCGAAAGTGGCCAACTCTTTAAATGCCTGGTGTCGAAGTATGCCTATCCAAAAATCTTCACTGTTCGTAGGTAGTTCATCCTTCTTAAATGTAGCTTCTTCTTTCCAGTTGACAACAATCAGTTTTCTGTACTGTTCTTCTATAATACTGAAGTTGATTTCTGCCAGGTGTAAAAATGGTAGCTCTGAAAACTGTGTCCTTGATATTTGATTTAAAACTGCCAAAGGGCTCAATTTTGACAGATTTTGAAATATATTCTCGGTGGGAAGCCTACACGTAATTTGACCGAGAGCTTCCTCTAGCAAAGACATACTTCTTTCTTCATTGTTTCTTCATTCTTCATTCTTTCTTCATTCTTTCTTCATTGTTTATTTCTATCTGAGCTTCAGTCCTGTTATTTTTATGTAGGAACGCATTACATTCCGTTAGGAATTTAATACCAAAGTCAACGTGATAATTATTTTTGTTTTCTGCTCATTGACGTCATACAGTCTGTTCTTAAGACTTTTCTGGTGCTTGGCAATTGCACTACAAATGCAGAGTGCTAGTGAATGGCAGATACATCTTAGCTGTACACAAAAAGGAGACACATCTTTAATTCTGGACCATACAGAGTTCTTGCACCCGACCATGTTTGAAGCGCCATCTGACGCAAACCAAATGCAATTTGTAAGTCTTTGACCACACCTTTTGATTTCCTTTGCAATCAAATTAAATATGTTTTCTCCTGTAGGAAATTAAAGCAAGAAATCCGGTAAATATTTCATTTTTCCTGTCACTGAAAAAAACAACTAACTATAATACTTTTGAGTGGAAACGTCAGTAGACTAATCTATTATGATGACATATTTCTTGTTCCGAAAATCATCAATAAGGTTATCCTTAAGTGCAGGCGATATAATATTTCTTATTAAGCATAAACATTTAGTTCTGTGCAACTGTTTGTTCTCCAATGTACTCCCCTGATCATGCGCTCTCATTATTTAACTGAAATGATCAATTGTGCGTATTGCACAATGGCAGGTCATGATTACAGCAAGTTGCAACTCTGCTACCTTCAACTTTATCATTACTTTGCCTAGGAGTTATTGTTGTAATAAGCATGACTGGCTTTTTGACGGAGTTTTCATCCTGTGTTTTTTCGGATTTTTCATGATTTGAAATGCTACTAATTCTTGGTGAAACAGTGCACTGACACAGTTTACAATATGCTGCCTCTGATCCGTCTGAAGATCTTTTGAGCCATCAGTATGTTTTCTCCCAATTACTATTATACTTGCGATTGCTGTCATAAGATGCTTTCCATTTTTGTGTGTGTGTATGACGTGACCATTGGTAAAGGTAATAAAATCTATTACAGATAGAATAGAACTAGATATATATCCTATCTATTTTAAGTAGTTTCTTAACAGTCTGAATCACTTGGTATCAGTGGTGGGTTTTCGTTTTATATCTCGCATTTATTCTAGTAAATTAAAATAAATTACAGAGGTTTATAGCAGTCACGATCCGATTAGGAAGACAACAAAACAATAAGAAATGGCGCGAATCTCTGTTAGTACGTACCAGGACATCACAACAAAGTCAAACTGAAATAAATATTTAAACTGTAGGTCTACATTGCTTTTAGTAAATTTGCGTGTTTACAACAGAGGAACCATGAAGAAAATGTGAGCACATCTTGATAAGAAATGCCAGGAAAAACCCGAATATGCCAGTTCATTATCTTATGCCAGTTCAATTTTAAATATGCCAGATTTGTGGAATCTGGCATAAAAAATGCCAATATGGCAACCCTGAAACCGGCTCCAGAGGGAGATAACTCTAAAAATTTTGACAACCTGATTGAGTCCAGACTGTTCCTGGGAACGTGTTTTTTTTTTTAAGAAGAAAATTTGCACGTATAGTTTTTGTTTAGTGCCAGACACATTGTAAACGTAAATGGCAGCTACGTCGAATTTATCTTCCAGCAACGTAGAACTAGTCAAGGATGAAGAACGATTTAACAAAATCGTCAGTGATGCTGGAGGGTAAGTTCATAAAAAAAAAAAAAACTTGCTTTGTCACTTTGTCATTAAAAATATAATAATAATAATTAATATGGTACTTCTTAGCTTGTCTTGGCTAATATAAAGTTATGTAACTATTGTAACCTATGGTGCCATTTTAATGGTTTAGGATTATTTCTGCCTCAGTTCCGTAGTTTTGATTTTCAAGCTGCTCGATCATTACGAAGACACCTTTTTTTTTTTTAAATTGGGGCGCCTAGTTGAAGTAGTTTGTCATAACATTATGTCATGTTTTTAAGTACACTTGGCTCTCCTCCGAACTTCTACCCCCGCATTATGGTGGCCTGAAATATCCGCTCGGGGCTCAGTTCTATTAAAAATATGCCGGCTCTGCATAACGAAACAAATGCTCTAAGTCTAACAGGGTCTCAGCGATATGTTACTTGCGGACGTGTTTCTTATTGTTTCTGATTACCTGACAATTCGGCTCTTCTTTCAATATAGGCCGGTAGCTGGAAAGCCGCCGATCGGCTTAGTGGGAGTTGTCTCCCTTGGCTGCATTGCAAACACGGAGCGGAAAAGTCATGAATCAAATGACATACTTACCTAACATCATACGGTTGCGTGTACGGTTGCGTAGTCATCATACAGTGGCGTAGGGTTTGGGATAGGGTTAGCGGCGTTAGGGGTTGGGGTAGGGTTAGTTAGGGTTAGGGGTAGGGTTAGATGTGAAAATTTTGACGTAGGAGTTCCAAATAATGGCTGACAATCTGATGCTTGTGGGAGTGGCGCCACTGGAATTCTCCCAAATATGACGGCAATAGCGCGCAGCTGGTGCCCAATCGGTGGCGAATTGTCCGTTTAAGTAGCATCCACAGTGCTTTGATTGTTTGGGTGTGTATGTGACTGTGCGCAATTATTTGAAACTCCTGCGTCAAAATTGTCACATCTAACCCTAACCCTACCGCTAACCCTAACCCTACCCCTAACCACACACATGTATCGGTCATTAAGTCATACAGATCTGCAGGAGTCACATCCCTGGCAACTAATACCACTTTTATATAAGGATAAATTTACTTTAAAAAAACCCAAGATTTCCCCGAAGCGTCAAATAAACACCCAGATCTGGGGGAAACACCCCAGCATTGGCAGCCCTGTTGTCGACCTCACTGTCTTTTTTGATTTGTGACTTTTCCGCTCCGTGTTTGCAATTCAGCCAAGGGAGAGAACTCCCACTAAGCCGATCGGCGGCTTTCCGGCTACCGGCCTGTAGTGAAAGGAGAGCCCAATTCTAAGAGACGCAACACTGCAAACAATAGTAGCAGACGATAATAGCGACTGTTGACACTTTCCATTGTCGGACTTTCTGCTGCAAATCGCGGCAAATCTAGGATCGGCTCGAAAAAACGAAACAAATGCTCTAACAGGGTCTCAGCGATATGTTACTTGCGGACCTGTTTCTGTGACTATGCCTCACCGGCGACCGTATCCCCCGCATCGCGACGCGTGGCGTGGATAGGGGCTAAACTAGATGGCTGGGACTCACGAGCAGCAGCTACCGCATCTCCTGCAACTTCCTCCAATAACTTTGCTCGTGAATCCCAGGCACCTAGTTTAGCCCCTCTTCGCGGCGCGGGGATACGCTCGGCGGTGATCGCGTTTTGCGCATGCCGACAAGTCTGACATCTACCGCTGCTAAATCCTCAATCGGAAGAACAGTATTGCTAATCTGCGTGGGAGCGCGTGGTCTACCCGCCATATTGCTTTCATCGTCTGTACTGTCTCGAAATTGTCAACGGTCGCTTTTATCGTCTGCAGAAACGCTCGACATTGTTACCGGTCGCTACTATCGTCTGCAATGTTGTGTCTCTTGAAATTGTCAAGTAATCCTAGTTTTGCCGCGATTTGTTCCTTGGCGGAAAGTCTGAATTTTTCATTGGACTGAGCCCAGAAAGGATAATTTAGGCCGCCATAATGCGGGGGTAGAAGTTCGGAGGAGAGCCTATACTTGTTTCCATTTTTATGTTGTCTGGTGTGTCTTTCTAGACTTTCTTCGTCTTTCTATGAGTGCCGATCAAATACATTGTCTGTCTGTTTAATATATATATATATTTGCAAATAAAAGTAATTTGATGCATCTTTTCTTAGTCTTGCAGTAATTATTTAGGAACTAGAAATCTTCTTCTTCTTTCGTTCGCATGAAATAAATTGTCTATATCTGCAAAGCCGTCTCTTGTATGAATTTCACTGTCTTTTGTAATTCACTAAGCGGCCCGTAAAGTTTGACTTCCACAAGTGTCTCTTTTGGCCAAAGGTTTTGCCTGAAAGCGTTGAATATGGGACAGTCTTGAAGGATGTGATCTGTTGTTTCAGGTGCCAGTCCACAAGTACACATGGCCGATTAACCAATCTTAAATTTGTTGTACATGTGGGAGCGAAGTCTATTGTGCCCTGTTCTAAGGCGAAGGATAATGACTTGCTCTGGTCTGTCCATAATATGGTAATCATCTTGTGCCAGTTTTGGTGGCATTCTGATTGATTTGATCATTCTCTTCTTCTGTTGATAAGAGACTGGTATGTCAGGTTGTTCTTCAGTTGCACCTTCCTTAGCTAGTTTATCAGCTTTTTCGTTTCCGGGAACTCCACAGTGGGAAGGTATTCACTGCATTACTAATTTACAGCGGTTGCCTAGTTCGGATAATAGTGTCCGTATGCTTGGTAATTTTCCAGACTGGAGTGACTGAAGTACTGCTTTTGCATCTGTCAGGAATACCACTGGTTGTGAAAAATACTCTGTATTTAGTAGTTTCTCTACAGCTATCTTGATGGCTTGAACTTCTGCATCATAGTTGTGACAGTGCTTTCCCGTTGGTAATTTGGCTGTATCCCTGGTATTATTAGGATACTCAATGTACACTCCCGCACCTCCGTTTCTGACTGCGCTTTCTGCTGACCCATCTGTGTAAACACGGACCCAAAGGTTCTGCGGGTATTCATCATCAAGTAGACTGAGGGTGGCTGTTTTGCGCTGCACACTGTTTTGTTCTTCCTTGTCAAATACCCCTTTCACTTCAGTCTTGATGTGTATTGGAAACTTATACTCCTCTCTCCAGGGGTCCGTTCTGGGACAGCATTTAAGGATCTATCAGTTGCAGGTAAATCAGTGGTTTGTCTGCCGAGCCGTTTGGCCTGGTGGATAAAACTACTTCTCTTTAGTCGTCCCAAAGCTAAATTTTTGAATCTTTCATTCATAGGGTGACTGGGCATACTAAGAAACTTTTCTGCTTGTAAAAGCATCTTGGTGTCTCTGCGTTCACTCAGTGCTTGGGTCATCCCCATTTTCTCCATCACAGCTATAGGTGTTGATTTCATACTGCCTGTGGTAACTCTGAGTGCTTGATTTTGCACTTTGTCTAATTCTTGCAATGTGGTTTTTGATGCCGAACTCCATGCTGTTGATCCGTATTCAAGATGTGGTCGAACACTTTGTTGGTAAACTTTTCTAAGTATTTTCCCGCTAGCACCCCATGTGGTTCCACTTAGTTTTCTCAGAATGGCTACCCTCCTTCTGGCTTTGGTTGCTGCCTTGTTGATGTGTTTTTCTCCATGTTAATCTATCATCAAACGTTACGCCGAGGTATGTGGGCTCCTTATCCTCTCTCAGGGGTACTCCATTTATGTGCATGGCGCCTGATTTTTGTTTAGGAGAAAGGGTAAAGAGAGTGGTGCTGCATTTGCCTATGTTGATGCTGACACACCATTTGTCGGCCCATTTAGCCATTGCATCTATGGCTCTTTGTAGCAGTCTGGTGGCCACTGTCGCATTTTCATTTGTACACCAGAGTACCAAGTCATCAGCATACATTGCAGCTTTAATTCCATGGGGTAGTTCAGAAAGCAGGTCGTTGATATAGACTAGGAAGAGTGTGGGGGACAGGACACCTCCTTGTGGGACGCCATGGCGCAGCAAAACTTTCTTGCTCTTAAGTCCATCTATCTGTACTCGGGATCTTCTGTTATACAAGTATGCTTTGACCCATTTGTACATACTCCCATTCACCCTGCAGTCTCTCAGTTTCTTCAGTAGACCTTCTTTCCAGACCTTGTCAAAGGCTTTCTTCAGATCTATGCATGCCGTTAGCACTAGCTTCTTATTCTGGAAGGCATCCTCAATTTCTTGTGAAAGGTAAGTTGTCTGGTCTTCTGTGGAGTAGCACTGTCTAAATCCTGCCTGCTGCGGCGTGAAAATGTTTTCACTTTCCAAGTACCATTGGAGTCTAAGGTTGACAATACGTTCCATTGTTTTACAGAGGCAGCTTGTAAGACTGATCGGTCTATAGCTGGAGGCATCAGAACTGTCCTTTCCTGGTTTAAGCAGAGGAACTAGAAATGAACTCCAATTCCGATGGTACCAGTAACAGTCTGATTGTATGTCCGTCTCGCCTTTCCCCTGAGTGTTCGTCATTGGCCAGATCGCCTGGTAACTCCTCGCAGTGCCATTCAACTTCTTTTTCTTAACTTTCACTGGCTTTAATCTCTAACAGACTAACAGAAAGTTCTGGTGGTTTGTCAGTTTATGAACTTTGAGTTTTGCATACACATTTTTGTTTAAAGATCTGACTTATTTTTATGCAGACTATTGGTTCCTTGCCTCTCAGGCAGATGCACTCCGACTTTGAAGGAGATACCCCTAATTAGTCACCTGCTTGATGACATACTTGGTCTTGTTAACTTTAGAGTGCAAACCTTTTTTTATGAATGTCAGTAAATGATTTGTATATTTATAACTTTATAATTCACAACATCCATCAAGAATTTCACATGTGGAAAAAATAAAAATGTCCGTCCAGTTAACTATGTTACTAAAGCTTATATTATGACTATCACTAAAAAGCACGCTGGCTCTTTTTTTTTTTTTAGGTTAGATTTTATGTCTGAGGAAATCTGGTACAGTGAGATATATTGTGAGGGCAACAAATTTTGTAAATTCAATATCTTCTTATTCTTAGTATTTACCAGCTGTAAGCTCTGGTTGTTGGTCCACTTCTGAACTTTTGCATTGTTACAAAATTGACTTATGCATGCACATCTGTTTTACAGATGTGTCTTATTTGTAAGCAGACTGTTGCTTCTTGCTTGTCAGGCAAATGCAGTCTGACTTTAAAGAAAACACTCCTAGTCAACTGTTACAACATGCTTGTTTAAAAAAAGGGGGGGGGAGGTCAGTGGTGACTGCCCCCCCCTCCCCTCCCAAATAGGACCAAACACACACACATGGAGAATGCAATATTAAAACCGTCCAATAATAAAATAGTTTGTTTAGTTTGGCATAGTAGTCATGTATGGTATAAAATAATTTCCCTTTTCCCCGCGGGTTGACCCAGTACCAGATAAATGTCCAGGAAGCAAAGGTAGCTGACATCAGTTATTTTATTTCGCTTGACCTTTTTATGTCAAGATAACCTGAAAGTGATGAAAAGGTTTCTTTATCATTTTTTATTATTTTTTTTTTGGTTAAATATTTTTTAAATAGTTAAGATAATTGTTAAATTTTTACTGTCATAATGTATTGTTGTCATTCACGTTCATTTTTTGGCACATCTTCTACCTTCTTAGACACCTTGTAGTCATTCATGTTCATTTATTGGCACATCTTCTGCCTTCTTAGACACCTTGTAGTCATTCACTTGTTCATTTATTGGCACATCTTCTACCTTCTTAGACACCTTGTAGTCATTCACTTGTTCATTTATTGGCACTTCTCTACCTTCTTAGACACCTTGTAGTCATTCACTTGTTCATTTATTGGCACATCTTCTACCTTCTTAGACACCTTGTAGTCATTCACTTGTTCATTTATTGGCACTTCTTCTACCTTCTTAGACACCTTGTAGTCATTCACTTGTTCATTTATTGGCACATCTTTTACCTTCTTAGACACCTTGTAGTCATTCACTTGTTCATTTATTGGCACATCTTCTACCTTCTTAGACACCTTGTAGTCATTCACTTGTTCATTTATTGGCACATCTTCTACCTTCTTAGACACCTTGTAGTCATTCACTTGTTCATTTATTGGCACTTCCTCTACCTTCTTAGACACCTTGTAGTCATTCACTTGTTCATTTATTGGCACTTCTTTTACCTTCTTAGGCACCTTGTAGTCATTCACTTGTTCATTTATTGGCACTTCTTTTACCTTCTTAGGCACCTTGTAGTCATTCACTTGTTCATTTATTGGCACTTCTTTTACCTTCTTAGGCACCTTGTAGTCATTCTCTTGTTCATTTATTGGCACTTCTTTTACCTTCTTAGGCACCTTGTAGTCATTCTCTTGCTCATTTATTGGCACTTCTTCTACCTTCTTAGGCACCTTGTAGTCATTCACTTGTTCATTTATTGGCACATCTTCTACCTTCTTAGACACCTTGTAGTCATTCACTTGTTCATTTATTGGCACTTATTCTACCTTCTTAGGCACCTTGTAGTCGTTCTCTTGTTCATTTATTGGCACATCTTTTACCTTCTTAGACACCTTGTAGTCATTCACTTGTTCATTTATTGGCACTTCTTCTACCTTCTTAGGCACCTTGTGGTCATTCATTTTGCTGCTTCCTGGGCTGAGCAGTGCCAGCAGATGGGAGAGGTCATTAATGAACTTTCCAAAGACCCTAAGTTTGCTCATGTGACATTCATTACTGTAAGTACAATAATCTTAGCTATTTCTTTTAGCCATAATAATACAAATAATAATGTATAAATGTGGTAAACACAGCTTAACAACATGCACAAAGAGCTAAATCTTCAGTTGATGGGGGATACGGTTCTCATCCACACACCATTATGTGCTAACCACATGCCAATAAATATGAGCTGTGGATTTCCATGGAAAGGAAAGGCAGCATTGACTGGATTATGTTACCTTATCGCATAATTGTTAGTGCAGCAACGATATCACTCCATTTGAATGAAATGAACAGATGTTCATGTGTACTTCTATTGTGATGATACATTGTTCTTCAGTAGTATTTTAAATTCACATTACTACTGCAGTATGTAGAATGCAGTTAATTTGTTGCTGAGTGTGAGAAGGAAAGTACATTAGTCAAAGAGAGAAAGGTACACAGTATAAATAGTTACTAAGAAGAAGGAACAAAGTATACTAAAAGAATATTAGTCATTGAGTGAAAAATGATAGTAGACAAAATACAGACAATGTCTGTATGCATTTCTAGGAGCCACACAATCTCCTACTGGTGAAATGGAAAAGGCAGGCAGCATCCGCTCCTTAGAAGAAAGAAGAAAAAAAAGGAGTCCTGCATGCTGAAAAAGATGAAAAGGATCCAGATCACCCCATGCAAGAAAAACTGGCAGAAAAAAAAAAACAGTTAAAAAAAATATATGGCACACAAACCTAAACCATCTAACAAACCAACACTGCACACCAGAAGCAATATATATGTTACCACAGTCAACATCACTGTATATTGGACATTCTCATACGTGGTCAGTCCTCTGATGCAGCAGCCACCTCTACTGATTGGATTGTTCTGATGAGAAGCTAATTATATCATGAGTTGGATTAGCTTCACAGCACTCTGGACACATCCATAGATGCTCAGATTCCCTCTCAACATATTTTTCAGAATAAGACAAGACTTCTTGTGCGTCCACTGTGCTTCTCAAGCTTGGCTGTGCTTCCAATTCTTTACTCCCAATTCTCTCATTCTTAGCAGTGATGTGGACACATTACTTCCAAAATCCTTGGATCGTCCTATCTCTCCAAGAGCTTGACAATATCTGTGTGATCCATGGGTTGGCCATCTTCAAATAATGCGGCATCTGCCAGTCTATCAGCTATTTCAATGAAAGTGAGGTACACATTTTAGTCATTTAGAGAGAGGTAAAAAGCCTAATCACTGCGAGTAAGGGACAAAGTACGTTAGTAATTAAAATGACGTACAGAGTTAATTAGTCACTAAAAGTGTGGTGGAACAAAAAGCATGTTGTCGCTGAAAATGTGAAAAAAGTACATTGCCACAGAAAATGTGGTTCCTTACGTGTGCATGTGAGTGCTTTCGATATCTCTGAGAAGTTAACAACATAAGGATGGAAGCTAGTCAGCCTACAGTCATACTCTCCTGTCTTGTATTATGCAGTTCTGTTTGTTCAAACCTTTACATTTTCATTGTTCATTTCATATGTTGGGCATACCTATAAGTGCTCAGATCTTCTCCTAAGTATGTTTCTTAGTGTGTTTATGCTGACGACTCTTGTTCTGTGTTGGTTGATGTAGAAACTGTAAGGTTTTGCATGGTTTTCACATCATGCTGTTCCAGTTGATATATCTAGACCTCAGAGTCGAGTTAGAGAGATATGATTATCTTCACTTTTGAAATCTTTAGCACATGCTGCCTCGTGTATAGAATTGATTATGTCTGTTTTATCGATAGAAGCTCCATTTTCTAGTGGGTTTTGCCTGCGAGATCATCCACCCTCTCAATGCCTTTCACACCGGCATGTCCTGGGACTAATTTGAATGTAATGAAGCAAATTGCTGCTTTTTGTAATAAATGATACCACTTTCTTTGCATGGATCAGGCTTTGATCTTTTTTATCATATTGATAGAATCACTTGGAAAATATATGTGTCTGAATTCCTGTGTCTGTAGCCATTCTAGGGTCTTCCTCACAGCCGTGGTTTCCATTATCAAGGTACTGTGGTGGCAGCAATGGCTCCGCTGGCTTCTGTAATGATTTTTCCTTTTGTTCTTGCTGTGAATGCCAAAGCACTGTTTGTGATGAATTACAAAATCATCTGTGTATATAACAGCATCATCTTTGGATGTGTTTTCATATATCAGTGCTTTGACCTCTGAATCAGCCATTGCAGGAGGTAAGCCACAACATTTTCTGTCTAAAGTAATGATCACCTTAATCAGTTGCCAATGTTCAATAGGTATAGGCATCCGTTCCTCTTCTAGTTGAATGTCCTTGAGAGAACAGCACACCTTTAGAGCATGTGATATGCTGTGGGATTATTCCTGCCTCACAGCTGATTACAAGACACATTTATTTGGTAGCTTTGAGAGTCGTTTACTGAATGTAAAGAGCATTGAAAACAGAACAGTCATTACAGTGTTATGCTTGCCTGTCAGCCTGATTGTCAAGGGAACCAATTTGGATTGAGGAAGAAATTGATCTTAGCGCCCTATTCAACCCAGCCTAAAATGAATAGAGCGATATATTCTGGCAACTGAATGGCTATTGTGGTGTTTGCCATATCACTCAGTGAATGCTGATTGGTCTATACAAATTTGGAGCCAGCTTGGTCTATACACATTTGGAGCCATCTTCATATGGCCCTCTTTACCTGAAGATATTTATTTACTGTTAAAAAATGATAATGAGAATGTTTCCATTGTGAAATGGTCAAGCGGTTTGCTTCACGCTGTGAAGGTTTTGGGTTTGTTTTACGGATGCGTCGTTCAGTTTATCAGTGCAGTTTGATTGAGATCCCTGTGGATTGTTACCACGGCTGTTGAGTTTATGCTTTGTGTGACACTCTCTTCAGACGACTGATCTTCTTGATCCTAACGTTAGAATGTTAATGGTTTCCATCTCATGATTTTATTCTTTCCAGGTGGATGCAGAAAGTTTGGCAGAGGTATCTTACAAGTATGAGATAGTGGCGGCACCAACATTTATTTTTCTAAAGGTAAATTGGATGTCCTAGATATGTGATCATGCTTTTTTATCATCTTCTTAATTGACTCTTTAAAGTGCAGTTGGTGTATACTGCTGAGGTTTACAGCTAAGCTGCAGTATTTGCACCTTCGGCCTAACAAATCTGATTTCAACAATACCCATTTTGGTGACCTTTTATGTGCCCATTAGTGGTCAGTGGAATAGTACTTTGGAACTACTAATTTTCGTAACTGCAGCTTTATGTTGATTCTTTGCAGACTGCATACATTTAGAACAAAAGGTTTGCTGGCTGAACATATGCACCTACTCCCCCTCCCCCCATGTGAGTTCCGGAGCCCTATTGTAGGGGAAAAAAAAATAGACCCACTGCCTCCCCAAAAGCATGTTGTAATAGCCGACTAACTGGGGAGCTTCCTTTGAAGTCGGAGTGCATCTGTCTAAGAGGCAAGGAACCAGCAGTCTGCATTCAATTGAATCAGATATATAAACCTGATGCATAAGCAACACTCAGGTTCTGGAGCAGGACTGCAGTCCAGAAGTGGACGAACAACCAGAATTTTACGCCGGAGTGTACAGCTGGTGAACGCAAAGAAGAAGAAGATATGCACCTACCTACCTAGACTGGACAGCGGGTTACTTAGCAGCCATAGGTTGTCCCATTGTTATCTCTTTACTTTTGAACAGGGTTTCTGCAACTGGCTTCTGTTGGATTTACTATTGAGAGCCAGAAGACAGAAGAAGAAGAAATAATAGTGTGTAGGATGAGAAGGAGAAGATGAGTACAAAATGACAGTCGGAAAGTTGTAAGGAAGGAGAGGCAGAGAGAGACTGAGAGAAAAGATATTGGACAGTTTGACATGGCATGGACGATCATCTGTGTCAGAGTTGACTGAAGTACACAAGACAGAATAGATGTGACTACCAACGCCATAAGGCATAGACAAGAAGAAGAAGAAGCAGTTCTCATGTAGGGAAACTGGTAATCACTTTCACCATACAGTGTTACTGCTAGCAGAATGAAGAAGCTAACTGGTTTATATCTGTCTGTGCACCACTGCTTTGCCTCATTATGTCAGTACAAAGCAGCCATCATATTTTCATTTAGTGGGTCTTAATTTTTCCCCACACAAAAAAGAACCTCAGACTTCAGAGTACTGCTTTTTTGTTGTAAACATTAAAACATTCTGTGACATGTTTATTTTGTTTTGTAAAGCATAGACACACAGTTTTTAAATAATACATATACATCTGACTGTTCATTCACATTTAGTCAGGCAAGCAGGTAGACAGGCTGGATGGTGCAAATGCAGCAGAACTGACCTCCAAAGTTACTAAACACTCTGCAATATCAGTAGGTGATCTGGCTAAACCCTCAGCTAAGCAGGTAAGACTTTTAAAAGTAGCGTTAAGCTCTTCCTTATTTTCAGTCTCTTGCTATTTCTTATATTTGCTTCTTATTCTTCTCCTATTCTTCATCCTTCTTCTATTACTCATTTTCATTATGCTTCTCTGTATTATCCAGCTTCTTCTCCTCTTTCTCATCCTCCTTCTATTCTTCCTCATTCTACTTCTCATTATTCTTGATTTTCCTTGTATTCACTCCTGCTGTTTCTCATATTTTCTCATTATTTTTCTCCTTTTTCTTATCTTCCCCCTATTCCTTCTCATTCTACTTCATCTTCTCCTCTTCCTAATCCTTCATATATGCTTCCTCATTCTACTTCTGTCTTCCTCATCTTTTTTCCTTCTCCTCCTCCTTTTTTCTCCTCTTCTTCTCTTTCTCATCCACCTATTCTTCCTCATTCTCCTTCTCATTATTCTTGTTTTTCCTTATATTCACTCCTGCTGTTTCTCATATTTTCTAATTATTTTTCTCATCTTTCCCCATTCCTCCTCTACTTCATCTTCTCCTCTTCCTTATCCTCCATAATATGCTTCCTCATTTTACTTCTCAGTCTTCTTCATCTTTTTCTTCCTCCTCCTCTCCCCCCCCCCCCTCTTCTTCTGTGTATCTTCTAAATGCCAAGCTCCTTGTAGACCTATTCTTGATTGTTTGGGTTTTGCAGCTGAAATTTTCTGTGGGATGAGGTATCTAGTCTGACAGTCCTCTCTAGACTAGTCTAGTCCTCTCGTGTTGCTTTTTTTATGGCATGTATAGAAGGTTACTTCTTTATATTATGGTCCCACTTGTAACATCATCGTCTTGTGTATCCCTCTACGGTTACTTTTCTGCACCTCTTTTAACAAGAAGTGGTGTCTTTTTGGTGCTATTGGTGCCAGAATGTTGTTGTCCGGTATTGATATAATTCAGTAATGTTTTCTTAAATGTGTATGTTTGTTAAAAATCTTTGAATACTTGTGTCTCAGTTCATGCACTAAATGAACTAAAGATTATGGCAGCAATGGACATGGAGCAGAGAATGCTGTTTACACTTTACCAGCACTTAACCATCTCAGTGACTGATTATGGACTGGAGCTACTCACTGTCTCAAAGAGTCAGCTAGAGAAACTAGAGCGCATACAGAATGAAGCTATGCGGGTGATCCTCGAATGTACAAGACACCCTGACTATGTGCGTGCAATACATCCTAGCATTGCCGACTGTTGCAGATAGGCTAAAAATGCTGCAGGCTAAGTCATACCTCAGAGTAGCTGCAGACAGAGAACACCCTCTGTATGAAGCTTTGGCTACAGGTAAGGGTCAGAGGCTGAAAAGGGGAAAATCGTGGATGGCTCAAGCAGAAGACACAATAAGACAAGTATGCATGCTGGAGAACATTCGGCGAGGAAAGAATTGGGTCAGAGTAACAGAGGAAAAGTCTGACCTGTGTAAGGTCATGATCACATTGAGCCAGTAGTGCAGAGAGTGGCCAGTGGGTGCTTCGGAGGTGGAAGTCCAACAGTTGATTCACGATAATTCAGATGATCTGATTATCTATACAGATGGTTCGGTGTTGAGAAGGAAGAGAAATGCCTGGGGGCTCATAGTGAAAGCCAAGGGAAAGTGCAGGACATCCTAGCACATGATATCACAACATCTAGCATGAGTATAAAGGTGGAGGCAGTAACTGAGCTTTCTGGTGGCTAGAAAACAAGATGCTTACACATGTCGTAATTGTAACAGACTCTGAAAGCATGCTCAGTACACTCAGAGGAAAGGCAAGACGGACATATAACCAGGTTACAACCGGCACCATTAGTGTTGGAACTCTGTGAAGACTGCTGAAGATGAGGATGGAGCACACATGGGAATACCTCCGAGTTCTGTTATGTCAATTCTGGACTCAACTCACCTCCATGATGTTTCTCCTTTTTTTGTCTGTATAATCAGACTACTAAAGCTTGACTTATGCTCTCACATTAATTTCTTTTCTCTTAAAGTGTCAACTTTTCTACGCTATACTGTAATGAACATTAAATATAATACATGATTTATCTTAGTATTAACTCATAACACAGCCAATGTAGCTGTGTAGCCATTTAGATGTGAGAAACTGTTTCATATTGTTGAACTTTGGGGGTCTCCAAGGGGAAGTTGTCAAGTCAAGCTGTTTGCCTCCTGCTCTGAAGTTCAGTTCACGGGTGCAATTTTTAGAGATCCTTGGGATCATTGCCAGAGCTGCAGAGTTAATGCTTTGTATGACTCTCGGTAGGCAGCTAGCCATTCTGCAGAGAGAAACAGCCATATGGGATAAGAACCCAGTGCAGTGAAGTTAATCCTCATGACTTTAATACTATTAAAATTTGCTGTAAAAAAAAAAAAGAACTGAAACTCATATTCAGTGGATTTCATCTCATTGTGGAAACAGCCATATGGGATAAGAACCCAGTGCAGTGAAGTTAATCCTCATGACTTTAATACTATTGAAATTTGCTGTAAAAAAAAAAAACGAACTGAAACTCATATTCAGTGGATTTCATCTCACTGTGGCATGAAAAGCAATGAAAACACTGATAATTTCATCAAGGAAGGAAGCACCAAACAACAAAGCAATGAAAACACTGATAACTTCATCAAGGAAGGAAGCACCAAACAACAAAGCAGTGAAAACACTGATAACTTCATCAAGGAAGGAAGCACCAAACAACAAAGCAATGAAAACACTGATAACTTCATCAAGGAAGGAAGCACCAAACAACAAAGCAATGAAAACACTGATAACTTCATCAAGGAAGGAAGCACCAAACAACAAATTATCCAGCTACTACATTTTTTGTATTACCCAGTAACATGGCAACTAAGCTATTGGAAAACCTAAAAGACTTTGAGCTAACATCCTATATTGTGGTCCACTGGATTAAGTGCATGACCAGAAATCACTGAAGAAGAAGAAAAATGCTTTGACAACCCTATTCTCTTTCATATTTCTGCCTCATGCCTGCCATAATATTTTACTCTCGGTATTCAATTGTATACACATGCCTTGATTGATTGTGTTTTCTAGGATTTGAATGAAAGATTGAAAGCACTGATCAATTCTGCTCCTGTGATACTCTTCATGAAAGGAACTCCAGAAACTCCTCGTTGTGGTTTGTAATATTTTAAAACATTTACTGCGGTTGAAAATCATCAGTTTGTTTTATTCATTTTTATTGGGTAACAAAAGTCATTTCCCTAATTGTCTGGATTCGGTAGTGTTAGTAATACTAAATCAGTTACTAGTTTAACAAGTTTAAATTTGCAAAAACGATAAGACCAGACATCATTTGCTCCCAGTCATAAATTGATGTAGCAAATTTGATAATGATAATTGCATCTTCTTCTTCTTCTTTTTGTTCTTCTTCTTCTTCCTCCTTCTTCTTCTTCTACTTCTGTAATCAATTGGCATGATGTATTGTGGTTTACAGCTCTAGACTGTTGTGTGCACATTTCTGCCTAACACTTCTTATTTTAGCAAACCTTTAATTATTCACCTTTTATGACATACTTTGGGGAGAGGGGGGGGGGGGTGCAAAGTATAGGGAGACTGAGAGAGAAGGTGCTGTACAGTTTGACATCACGGCAATGAAGATTATCTGTGTCAAAGTTGATTAAAAGAACACTAGACAGAAGGTTATGGTTAGAGATGACTTCCAATGCCACATAACATGGACTGTAATGAGAAGTAGAATGGCTTTTAGCCTAGGACATTTTCTTGGTCTGGTTTAATACTTTATACACCAGAGCAGTGTCAGGTCATGGCATACTTGCATTTCATGAATAATTTGTCATTATTTACTGTGCCTTTCAGTTGAATGAGCTGATAATTGGTTGCTGCCTCTCCTGTCACACTGAGCTATTTTATAAGGGAAGGATCTATCTATCAGCTCGAGGGGATAGTGCAGCAGAATAGAATATCCATACTTGAAGAGACTGATTCAGTTGGGGGTGAGCAGAGGGGCTGAATGGTATTCATTATGCAGGGAGAGGCATACTTTTAGTCAGTTTGCAGCTGGTACTGTCCATATCGAACTCTTTATTGGCTATTGAGAAAACATATAGAACGTGTGGAAATTTCCCAAATTCAGTGATGTAAGTTTTTGATTGAATGGTTCATTTCCCACTTGAGATCCGGAGCCCTGTTTTTGGGCCAATAATAATAAACCCACTGCCTCCCAACACGTATGTCATAAGAGTCAACTAACTGGGGGCTTCCTTTTAATTCGAGAGTGCATCTGCCTGAGAGGCAAGGAACCAGCAGTCTGCATAAAGTTAAACCAGATCTGTAAAATGGATGTGCATGCAACACTGAGGTTCTGGAACAAGACTAAAGTCTAGAGGTGTATGAGCAATTAGAACTGTCTGCCGGAGTTCACAGCCGGCAAACGCAAAGAAGAATAAAAAGAAGATTAGTTAATTTGATTTGATTTGATTCAAGAACCAACATCACAGCACTTGGGGCATTCCCATCAGCGCTCCGTCCCCATCTTCAGCAGCCAGCGAAGAGTTCCGATACTAATGGTGCCAGTAGTTTTCTAATTAAATGTTCGTCTTGCCTTTCCTCTGAGCCTCAAGCTGCTGCCAGAACCTCTCGTCACCCCCAAATGCGTCAATCTCACCAGACTGGGGTGATCCATCTGCTCCTCCGCATTGTACATGCTCTCCCACAAGGCACTAACCACGTCTGCCCTATCATGTATCAGTATTCCACCAAGTTGTGCAAAGCCAGCCAGTCTGTCTGCCTGTTCATTTCCCAACACACCGGCGTGAATAGTTAATTATGATTTTCAAAAGTTGCTAGTGTATGAGTTTAAACATATTGAGATACAGTAACAAAGTGATGGCTTTAATTCTCTCTTCCTCCCCACTCTACATACACACAGGCTTCAGTCGACAGATTACACAGATTCTGAATGAGCAAGGAGTCAAGTACTCTACCTTTGACATTTTGTCAGATGATGATGTTAGACAAGGTAGGCGCCGACACTAAATGTGCTAGGAACTGTAGGTAAATTAAAGTCTCACTTGTAATATTACCTGAGTCAAAAGGGGAAGCATTGAACAGTATTGCATCAGATGTTTTTCATATATGATCTTGTCTCCTAGGTCGACCCACCACTAAGTGGTTACCAGGCTACCTCCTGGGAAGTAAAGGCGGCTGGCATAACGTTGACCACATCACCCAATGAGGGCCGATTGGTCTATAAAATATGAGTCTAGCCTGATGTGCCAGTGGCATTTAAAGGGACCTTTCTTTTCACTTTACTACTGTAATGCATGTTGTTTCAAAAGAAATTGACTCACCTAGAAAAATGATTGCCGACATCAGAAGGAGATAATCTACATTCTTTGGTCATGTCATGAGGAGAAAACTGGAGCATATCATAACAGTGGGAAAGTTGGTGGGGAAAAGAGGCAGAGGGAGACTAAGAAACAAAATGTTGGACAGTTTGATATCATGACATGAAATATCATCTATATTAGAATTGATTGTAGGCAATAGAGATCATTGTGTACAGACATGACTATCGACACCACATGTCATTAACTATAAGAAGAAGAATGTATATTGTCATAGATGGCTGCCTCAACAAAAATTGACATTTGTATTTTAAGCGTGCTTTTACTATCCTGATTGTGTGTTTTCTTACCTACTGTTTCATTATTATAACTGTAGCTAAGCAGACTGATTAATGTCAGAAAAAGGTGACAACGAACGATCTTTAAATGTTGTAAAAATGGAACTGCTTTAATTCATTATAACAACAGAATAGTTGAAATGCTAGAAGGAAAACGGAAGTTAGAAAAATTAAACAGAAGACACAAACAGAAAAATTATCCCTTGACAGTATGTATCATGGAGAAACATTTTTTAGAAGTATTTGACTTTGCAGACTTGATACATACGTTTTGTGGACATACATAACACACAATGCTCTGTACGTGGTCTGTAAGAAGTTTTTTATAGTTAAATTGAAATGTGAAAATTATTAGACACTAAATGAAACAGATAAAACATGTTTAGTTAACATGGTTGCCAAAATTGTAAATGTTGATGACTGGCTATGTGTGAGACAAGGCAGCTGTGACTGTCAGTGCATTGTCTGTAAGAAGGGGATTAAAGTTACATGCGGATGTGAGAATAGACGTGTGACAGAATTAAAAATAAATGTTCTTAAAAATGCTCATTTGCTTGCCAAATAGTAGCTTAATGTTTAGCTCATTTGCTTGCCAAATAGTTACCTTAATATTCTCATCAGAGCTGGAGTCTGTATGCCTGAGAGGCAAGAAACCGAAAGCCTGCACACAAATACACCAGATTTGTAAAATAAATATACATGCAACTAATTAAGTTGTTATACAAAGCTAAGGTCCAGAGTTGAATGAACAACCAGGACTTTCCGCCGTAGTTTACAGCCAGTGAACATGAACAAATTGTGGTATAAATTTTTGCATTAATTCACATTATGGTGTCTCTCTGATTTGGGGCTTAGGATTGAAGGCCTTCTCCAACTGGCCAACATTCCCACAGCTTTATATCAAAGGTGAGCTGATTGGTGGTCTGGATATTGTGAAAGAAATGGTGGCATCTGGGGAACTCAAGGATGTCGTTCCCAAGACAGAGGATTTGAACACAAGGTTAGCTGTTTATTTGGTTTTATAGTTGGTTAGTCAGTTCAGAAATCTGTAGATATGGATTTTACTGTTATGATAAGTCTGCTGGGGTCAAAAACATGAAGAAGCAAACACTTGAGCTAGGTGTGCTACAAATGTGGAGGGTTCCTCATTCAGTTGAGTAGACATCATTAAAAACCTGACATGTTTTTTTAGTGAGACTGCTTGTTTCAAAGACAAGGGAAGGGCCAAAGGCTTCAGAGTGGGAGACATGGAGATGAAGTTGCGAGATTTGAAGGCTTGGTACTTGACACAAGCTAACGAACCAAGACAGAATTCAAAACAGTCATCACACTTGTTGAAACTCTGAACAGGGCAATCTGTGAATCAATAGGCAAGTCCTAAACAGAATGATAATAGCCCATTTGGATAATTTAACTGGATTATATGTTGCCTTGAAAATAAGACCAGGTCTTACAAGGATCATTGAGAATTATTGCTGGGATTTAAAATTGTTGTTACAAAAGAAGTATTTAACAGGTATATACATAAAATGTTCAGGATTGTTTCAAGTTTTAGACTGACCTAACTAAACTTCTATATGACGCTATTTTTAGCTCTTTTGATGCAAATTTTGCCCTCTAAAAGATGCCCAAGGGCTTATAGTCAGGGGTTGTCTTGTTTTAAATTGTGTGTTTTATAAAGCTTTAATGTCAGTATTATTAATACACTGAATACTCTATAATTCAATACATTGGTCCTATTTTTCAGTAGATAAACAAACCTGTCCGTCTGGTTGACATTTCAAACTAGGGCTTATAAACGCGCATCCTGAAAATTCATGCTAGGGCTTTTTTTTTATGTTTGTTCTTTTATTTTAGGGTGAAACACAGTAGAAGTTAATTGACATATTTAAACAGAGGTATTTCATTTTAGGGTGAAACTCAGTAGAAGTTGATTAACATATTTAAACAGTCTTTTATTTTAGGGTGATACACAGTAGAAGTTAATTAACATATTTAAACATAAGTGTGTTTCCTTGCCATAAGTCAAATGTACTTTTGCAGTAGTTAAGTGGTTAGTGCACTACCACCACAGAATAAGTTTCAGAGCTGTGACTCTGAGGGTCAACAGTGCTTCATTATATTGGTACCACATAGTTTTCCAGGAGAACCGGGCTCGTGTTTGCTGACCATATTGCTCACGAAATACCATACCTGTTATAATTTGTTGTCCTCTTGTGGGATCCAATTTTTTTTAATTTAGCACCAAATCTTTAATATACCACAGTGACATGCAGATGCTTTCTTTATCTTGTATAGTGCTGGATTATAACTTGTTATGGTAACAAGTGTTGGTAAGTATTACAAAAATCTTCTTAAACACAGTTAGCCCCGCTCATTTATGCACTAGGTCACTTTTCATTCGTAGGATCATTAGGATTGTCATTTTGCAGAAGGTTTCGGGGTGTCCTGCTCTGCTGTTTACTGGAAAATTTTTCTGTCTTGTCTTCCATTTTCATTTTGAGAAAGAGAATGCCTGTGACATGGGTTGCAGCACTCTCATAGGAGGAGGGAGGGGGGGGGGGGTTGTGTTAGGGCCAGTCCTGCTTGTTTTTGGAGCAATAAAATCGCTGATATGCTGAAATATATAATATATAATACATGATATCAACAGTATCGCGGAACACCCCTGTAACCTTCTGCAAAGTTGACGAGGCTCACCAACTACCACTCAGAAGTGACCTTATGTGTAAAAAGGTGGGGCTTACTCTGTTTGGGGAGATTTGCGTAATGTTTACCCAGGTGTTAGATATATTTTATACCCCTATGTTTTTTTGTGTGGGTATTTTTCATTATTAAATTTCATATTTTAAGAATTTTACAAAGAACTCTTTACAACCTGAGTCTGTCAGTTTGTAAAAAATGTTCTAAGACACATTATTTACATAGTGATATTTGCTCAAAAATTTTTGAGAAAAGTTTGAAATCAGTAAACACAAAACAACAGAGAAAATTTAACTCTGCAAATAAGCTAATTAAAACCAGCCACTTTCCCTTAGACAAGAAAGAAATAAGAAAGTAATCAAGACTCATTATTTGTCAATTCCCTGTGTCGGTTTCAGAGGCCCCATTGTGGGGGAAGACAAGAATAGACCCACTGCCTCCCCAACAAGCATGTCATAAGAGTCGACTAATTGGGGGCTTCTTTCGAAGTCCGAGTACATGTGCCTGAGAGGCAAGGAACCAGTAATCTGCAGATGTGTAAGACTGATCAGTAAAATGGATGTGCATGCTACACCCAGGTTATTGAACAAGACTAAGGTCTAGAGTTGGACAAACAACCAGAGCTCTCCACTCTGGTTTACAACCGGGGAATGCAAAGAAGAAAAAGAAGATTATTTGAAGAAGAAAAAGATTATTTGTTAATCACATATTGTGTTTTTTGGGGTTTTCATTGTCGTTTTGGTGAGTCTTGTGGTAACAAATACTGCTAATCATGAAGAAAGCTTGTGTGATAATGCTTTATTTACATTCAGCCAATTATTTTTACCAGGCTCAAAGCTCTAATCAACCAGTCTCCCGTCGTGCTTTTCATGAAAGGAACTCCATCAGCCCCACGATGTGGATTCAGCAAAACTACAATTGGTATTCTTGATGAAATAGGGTAAATAACGTCTGTGACATTCTAATTTTTTTTATAAACCTGTTCTTTAGATTTTGGTTGCAGATCTGTTTAAATTAAAATTAACAAATACAAGGGAAGGCTGTGGGGGCATAGTAGAGACACCCTTGCCTGCTGGTGAAAAAGTCTAAGGTTCAGATCTTTGTTATGGTTGATGAAAAAAAAAAAAAACTGCCCTTCCCTGCCAGATTGACCCAGCATAAAATGTATAGCAAGTAATGCTGGGCGGCATCATGTTGACCACATTACACGTGTAGCATTGTATGCCTGATGCGCCACTGACATTAAAATGGTGCTTTACCAACTTTAACCTACTTTATGATATGCAGGTATTTTCTACGAGGAGTCTCTAAGAGGAGTCTCAAAGCATTAGGAATGTGATGCGAATAATGTTAATTTTCTCCAACAGGGTTTCGGAGCCCCAGTTTTTTTTTGGGGGGGGAACCACAACAGTATGCTAACTGCCCTTTTGAGGGTGAACATAGAAGAGAAAGAAGCTAATTTTTTCTCATGGACAAGCAAGAATCGCTTGTTATACCCTGAGGAGTAGTTAGCTAGGCTCTTATGTGTATACTAACCAGCACTCACTATGTTATATGATTAGTATTTTGATGGCCACCTTTAATTTCAGTGACATTCTAAATTTGCATTTTAGGTTGGGTTGACTTCAGAGCCCAGGTCAGTTAAAAAAAAAATCCAGCTTGAATGAGGAGTTGAACACATGACCACAGTGTCAGTAGACAACATTGTGAGCGACCTCACTTCAGGGACTTCACTTCAAATGACTGTTACACACCTCTATAATATGAGAGCAAGGAATCAGAGAAAGAGAACAAGGGGAAGGCAGAGTTAAATACCTTGATGACCAGACATATGGAATGTATTAGAAGCTGGATGTTGTGAGGGCTCTTTGGGAGCGATTGAACAGTGAGTAGGCACAGATAGATCATTACAGTCTGGGGAGAATGGTGCTGCGAGCAGTTACAAGGGGATCTGGCCGATGCTCAACACTCAGGGAAAATTTGAGGTGGATGTACAATCAGACAGTTACTGGTGCCACAGGAATTGGAACTCTTCGCTTGCTGCTGAAGATGGGGACCGAGCGCTTATAGGGGTGTCCCGAGTGCTGTGATGTCAATTCTTAATTCTTCATTCAACATATGGAAGGAGACGATGTAACAATGACCAGGTCTGTGAGATGGTGAAACATGGCAGCTTATTCTTACTGGTATGGCATGTGATGATGATAATAGTTTGATTAGGTTAGAATAAAAATAAACGTGGGTAGAGTGGTTGTACTTCTCTCGTCACATTAGACAATAGTCCCCATGTGGATTCCGGGTTCCCATTGTGGGGACAACAAGCATAGACCCACTGCCTCCCCAACAGACATGTCGTAGGAGTCGACTGATTTGTGGCTTCCTTCGAAGACAGAGTATATCTGCCTAAGAGGCAAGGAACCAGCAGTCTGCACATGAATAAGCAAGATCTGTAAAATGGATGCACACTCAAAACTCAGGTCCTGGAACAAAGCCAAAGTCCAGGAATGGATGAACAACCAGGTCTTTCTGCCGGGGTTTACAGCCGGTGAATGCAAACAGCAACATTGGGCAATAGGATTCGATATTTACTGTCACATTTTCCTTAATTTACAGGAAATTAATTTTTTTTTAAATACCAGGAAATTTTCTGAACAGTAAAATGATATATATAATAGGAAAAACATCGCTCTTTGTGTGCCAGTTGGTCTAAACATATGAAGTCAACACTCAATATACTAAAAACTTGAAGAGTCTTATATGTTTATTTATCCAGTTATTTATTTCTTGTGATAATTATTTTTTTCGTTTCATGCTTCTTTAAGTTTTCATTGTACAGATGATTTTAAATGTGTTTTAATTTTTTTAAAATTGAAGAGTTCCATATACAACATTTGACATCTTATCTGATGAAGAGGTCAGACAAGGTCTGAAAACCTATTCTAATTGGCCAACATACCCACAGCTTTATGTGAAGGGAGAGCTGATTGGTGGTGTGGATATAATCAAGGTAAGAACAACTGAATGCTTTTATTCGATGTTACTGATGTTGAGATCATCTTTGTCAGAACTGATTAAAAGTGCATGAGATAGAAGGTTGTGGATAGCTACACGACATAGACTATAAGAAGAAGATGATAATAATTTCTATATAGCAACAGAAGAGATGACTTCCAGTGACCTCAGATGTCCACCGAGATAAAGGTCAGATCAGCCATTCATGCTGCGCGGTTAATGAGGCAGTCTTATCTGATAAAAACATTTCATCAAGAAGAAGAAGAACACTTGGTAAAAACGCTATGGTGGCGTGATAGTTAATTCACTTGCCTACCAAGACAGTTATCTTTATTCAATCCCCAGCCAGGGCAGAATGATCTTTCCAACCGGTACAGCTTCTGGGTCAATCCTATTTCATTAAATAGTACCAGTAAATTGAAAGACATATATATAAATTCCCTGGGGTGTATCGATGAGGAGGGGAACTGGCTAACCTACCCTTTTTTTAAGGTCCTCGAATATAAAAGTTTAAGGTTGGAATCGAGAGGATTAGCTTCACTGCACTAGAATTTGATCTCAGTCTCTCTTAGAACAGCTAGCCACCTGTTGAGAGCATTACAGAAAAGCACGAACTCTGGCTCCAATCATGACCCCCAGGGATCTCCATAAAAACCGCCCTCATGAACTGGACGATGCAACTGTGAAGCAAACATTTAGAGGTGTCCTAGAATATGTGAAAGCCTACCGCGACCTACCCCAACAGAAGTATCTGTTTTGAGACAGTGTCTGTTTATATTCAATAAAACTTCCTAAGAAGGAATAGAAAACCGTTAACACCAAAATGTAAAAACACAATATAATTATTATATATTTTAAAAATATTTTCATTAATTTTTTTTTTTAAATAATTTTATTTTGAATAAAAAACAGGAGCTCAAAGAAAATGGAGAACTGGAGAGCACTTTGAGAGGATAACTGGCATGCAGACTTACACAACACATGATAATTTTGTCAACTGATTATAATTACAGGTTACATGTATCTGAAAGGACTCATACATAGACAAATACATTTATGTGACAGGATCTTTTAATGATCCCAGTCATGCTTGACTTTGATCTGTCATTTTTTTAAATATCGGCTGTTGATGATTTGTCATCCCATTATGAACAGACTGTTAGTAAACATTTGTTATGTTTAAGGTTAAGAAGTAATAAATTGTTTTCCTCCCAAGATATGAAGATTTCTCTTCTTTTTTTTAGAGGTACAGTATATCTGTGTATGTTAACCAAAGCATTATAATTAAAGGGTATTGGCTTCCTTGCACTGGGTCTTATCCCATATGGCTTGATCTCTGTAAAGTGGCTGGCCATCTGTCCAATATTTCACACAAAGCATAAAAGTCCATAGAGATGGCCCCCTTTGGATCTCTGAAATATTTGCACTCATGGACCAGAGGACGGAGCCCAAAACTGGGACCATAACTCTTAGCATTTTAGTAAGGTGGGTTAACCAATCATTTGGTAATTAAATCCGGAACAGTTTTTGTAATTTACTTTTAACTGTTTTTAAAACTGTTGATATTTTTAGCAAATGTCTGGATAACCGTTTGTATCCATAATTGCCACAAATGAAAACAATTTTGGGCAGAGAATTACTAAACATGCACTGAAATTGAAAACAGATGGAATGAGGAAACAAGAATGTCCAAGAGAAACCATAAGATGAACATTTCTGAAACAGGCCAACGGTGCTAAACTGACTTCATTCTCCCTGTGTGGGTCCCAGGGCCCCACTGTGGGGAAAACGAGAAAAGACCTGCTGTCTGTCCAAAAGCATTTTTTATGAGTTGGCTAATTGGGAACTTCCTTTCAAGTCAGAGTGTGTCTGTCCGTGAGGTAAGGAACCAACAGTCTACATCAAAATAAATCAGATTTGATAAATGGATGTGCATGCAACACTGGGGTTCTGGAACAGTCTAGAATCCAGAAGTGGAACAACAACCAAAACCTTCTGCCTGGGTTTACAGCAGGTGAACTCAAAGAAGAAGGAGAAGAATTCCATCCACGATATTAAAGGGATTGCACAGGACAGAATAGATTATAGGACCAGACTGTGAGTTCTGTGTATACGGGCATAACAAGATGTTGATAGTAAGAAAGGCATTGACAACATTTTAAGACAACAGCAGTTTTATAGTTTTATTTTGAATGGTGATTTGCCTATATTTTACCCATCCAATGGATCAGTGAAATGGGGTGAACATAGAAGATGGTCAGCATTGAGAGATGGTCAGCTTTGGATGTTTGGAGCCCTATATGCCCAGTATCCCAGAAGGCGTGAAAAAGGATCTTTTACTTTTTAATACATTTTAGTCTTCCATTGCAACCATATTAACCAACTGATCAGTGAAAAAGAGATTGACATAGGAAGGTTATCAATTTGAAAGGTTCTGATGCATATGTGTGTGTGTGTGTGTGTGTGTGTATATATATATATATATATATATATATATATATATATATATATATATATATATATATATATATATATATATATATATATATATATATATATTCAAACACACACACACACACACACATGGTAATTGAGACTATATATAAATATCTATATAATGTCTCTAATGAAATGTACAGTTTTCCAGCATACTTCACTTGATTTCAAAGAACCAGATTAATTGTCGAGATCAGATTCTCAAAATCCAGAAGTGAGAGTTAGTAAAAAGTTTGGAGTGTTATGTCCCCTCCCCTTCCCCCACCCGATTTGTGTGTCTGGTGGTGTTGCTTAAAGACAGTACTACCACACATTTTATTGTTAACGCATGTTAATCAAGATATGATAGCTGCAAAAACAAAGTTCATATTGAAGGAAAAGGTTGATTACATTTTCTGGAAAGTAGCCTTCAAAGACAGACAGCATAATGTTTTGGTATTAGCAAGATCATAGACAGCAATATGGCATCCACAAACCTAAATATGAGTATTTGGAGAGATATGCTGAGGAAAGCGGAGATTTACAGTATAAAAGAATGAAACGCCGGTTGATGGAGCCACATAAGGCTGGTTAAAATAAATCAGGGCTAGTAATATCCTACTCTCAGGCTGGTGATTTAAGAAGTTGATAATTAAAAATCCAGCAGAAAGAAAATAAGGGCTTTTGAGCTGAAATGCTATAGAAAGATTCTCAGAATACCATGGACAAAGAAGAATTAAAATACTGAAATTTTAAAAGATCTGAACATCAAGGAAGATTGGCTAATCAACAGCATCTTGTCCCGGAAGCTGATATATTTTGGTCATATCAAACGACATGGCCGATTGGAAAAGATAATAGCACAAGGCATGGTACCAGGAAGAAGAAGCAGGGGTCGGTCGATACTAAAATGGTCATAGGATATAAGGGACTCCTTGAATATGAAAGTATCCGAGGCAGGAGAGCTGGTGAGAGACTTTCTTTCAGCCAGACTGCGGTGAGAGCGACGTTCTGTAGACCCGATGATAAATAATGCACCCAGGAATTCAGGGTAGCAGAAGATTTCCAAGCATCAAGTGGCTGGCTCGAGACATTTTAACTACTACCAAACACGATCTCAGAAATCCAGCCTCTTGACCTAAGCATCCTCATAACATTGTAAATGCACTTCCAAGGACAGCTGTTTTAGGGCTCACTACTAAATGACAGATCTGTGGAAGCAACTTCATCAGCGCACTCAGTTATTGATGTAGATGCTGTCCTGTTCTGATTGGAATAAAGTCCAGCCGGAAATTAAACAGAGGTGATTCACGACTGCTGGATTTGTCACACCGCAAGAACTTGTTTTTAGCCTCATCGGACAGTCCGTCAACCAATGGCAGAGATCGAACAAATAGATTTTGCAGGTTTTGTTGATATGGAGGATGATTCTTTTACCATACAATGAGATAAAATGTGAACAGGCCCGAATAACTGCATTTGTTTCCCATGAGGTACCTGACCAAACTGTGCTGTGCATTTTAACTATACTGAACCCGACCCAGAAGGAATTTTCCAAGCGATATTGGCTGAAGTACAGACCAGCATGATTCAGCTAAAGAGCAAGTGACGATTACAGAGAAATTGCAGACTCTGAGAAAAAAAAAAAAAAAGAATGCATCATGCAAGTGACGACTTAACGACGCGACTTTGAGGTACATTTCGCCTGTCAGACCTCGTATTTCTCATATACGGATGGTAATGCAAATATCAATGTGGATTCAAGAAGAAAGAATGAAAACACAAGGATGCCAGTCTGTGGATGAAAAGTACACTAAACACATCTCGTGCGTCATATCTGCTCTTACGTAACTTGAATACTTAATACAGATACTTACTGAAAAATTGGGGCGAGGAATCCAGACTTTCTTCCTGCAAGTAAGGTCCCTATTTCACGCCTTTGGGTGCATTGGGAATATAGGGCTAGACCTATCTATTTTGTTAAAACCAACTGGCTCTAGGTGGGTGATGTGGTCAGCATCAAGACAGCCGCATTTACTTCCCAGGACTGCACCGGGTACCCACTTGAAGCTGGGTCGACCAAAGAGTGAACATCAATTTTGAAAAAAGGCGGGTCTGTTAAGGCGTGAACCCGCGACTTTCCTATCCTCTGTCGGACGTCTAGCCGCCAATGCCACGGAGACTCCACTTCCTACAAGTAAGTAAGTAAAAAAAAATAAAGGACCCTTTTCCAGGCCGTTAGGCGTATAGGGCATATAGGTTAGACCTTTATTTTTATAGACCAATCGGCACAAGATGGGTGATGTGGTCAGCCTCACGCCGGCCGCCTTTACTTCCCGGGACTGCACCCGGTACCCACTCATGGCTGGGTCGACCTGGGAGCCAAGGTCATTTTTTTTTAAAGTCCAGCTCCACCAGGGAGCGAACCCACGTCCTTCCGATCCACGGCGAGCGTCGAGCCACGGCGACACCCCTTCCTACAAGCGTTGCACTAAAATACCGACATATTTCGTATGCATAGAATATACACCCCCCCCCCCCCCCCTCTTCCCTAAAAAATGTATCGAACAAGAAGCGTTGTGACACGAAAATAACACACACGCAGTTTTTGGGCAGTTATTTCTCGTCATGGTTTGTTAGCTTTATATTAGATTTGTGAACACTGGATAAGTAAACTGCGTCTCTTGTGAATATGTTTACTGCAAGTATGAAAGCCGCATGAATAGCTTCTTTATTTTGTTATTTTATGTAACCAAGACACCTACATTTATAATGTTTAATGTCTAGAGGACACACGACTGTGCATTGAGTAATATCTTATATAAGTTCGGTCATTCAAGTATTCACACGTATATACACACACATTCACAGGCAAACACCGAACACCCGTGCCCACTCATACATATACACACTAATACACACACATGCAAGCACACATTCATACTACACACTCTCATACACAGACATCCACATATATACCATCAGACACATAAACACATATAAACATAAATACCACACACATACACATTCCATATGTACATACACTGATACATATATACACATTCATACATATACATACACACACTCATACATATAAACACACTCATGTGTACACATACATACAATACATACACATACTCACAAACATACACATATACAGTTGGCATAGACACATTATTATTTACACATACGTATACATTTCATACATAAAGATACGTACATTCACACTCATACGCGCGCGTACACACACTCTCTCACACATATGTACATACATACATAATACATACATACATACATACATACATACGTACGTACATACGTACGTACATACATACATACATACATACATACATACATACATACATACATACATACATACATACATACATACATACATACACGCATACAAAGATACATACATATTAGGAACGTTCATATGAAAACTGTTCGTGCATGTATTGAGCATGATTTTTCATAGTGAT